CCCACCTGCCTGCCCTTCCTGTGCATGCAGCCCTGCCTGCTGCCTCGCATTGAGCTCCTGAAGGCCTGCATCTGGCCAGCATCTCTGGTGAGCAGACACACGCTGCTCCCTGATAGTCCATGGGGTCCCCTGCCACCCACAGCCACTGCATGCACACCCCTCTCTAGCCCCCCACACAGCACAGACAACTTGGGCCAAAATACAATTCACCCAGGGCACCATTTTCTTTATGGCAAGCTTTGGTCTCAAGGGCCGCTGCCTGGCTGCAAAGAAGTGATTACAGGCCTACCCAGGAAGACTGGGCCACGTGAGGAGGATAATCGGCTTCCTCAGGGCCAGAGGAATTTAAAAGCTTACAGGGAAGGAAACCAAGAGAGAAAGAGGGAAGGCTTCAAGATGGCAGCACTGAGCCAGGACACGCACTCAAGATCAGGGAAAGGACTGCAGGGTACTAGTTAACCCTTTATTATGTATTCATTCGTTTATTTGCCTCGGGGACAAGAAACTGTGTTAGAAACAGCGACAACCCTTTGCAGATCCAGGACTACAACTTTTACTTTTGGACACCAGGAAAACAGCAACCACCAGGGATGCATAGGCGCAGGTCGAAGATTTAAAACTAAGGATCCAGAGGGGAATGCTGAGCAAAGAACCTTAGATGCACCATTTTTGCTTCAGCTTCTGGGTCAGATCATTTGCTTTTGTGGGCACATTCAGGATGATCTAAAAACCAGCAGCATTAGGCAAGTGGGTTCAAAGCCCTCAGGGCAAAGAGTCTGGATTGCATGTCTCCATTTGAGTGCTCAAATGACCAGGCTATTGCAGAAGAGGTAAGCACCATAATTCCAGTTTGAGAGGGAAAGCTGATGCAAGTGCTGCACTTTCCACTGAGCTTAATGCTGCTGCTCGCATCAAACAGGCATTAGGTGTGCTCTGTAGGCTCCTAACAAACCAAATGAAGGCAACTCCCAGCTCTGATCTGCACTGCAGTAGGGCATCAGGCAGAAGGTAAGATACCTGTGTGAATTGGCTCAATTCTGAGCATGCTCAGAAGCTTGAGTCTAGGCATCAAGGAATCTTTTCAGGTGTAGAGGTATCTAATGAATCTAGCTGCCTCCACAATTCTGCATCTACTGAAAAAGGTGCTACATGAATTGCTTTTTGCAACTTAGGCAAGTAAAATTCCACTTAAGTCCAGCTTAGATTCCTACAAGAACTATTAGATCTAGCCCTATATTCTGTTCTCTTACTATTCTCTCTTTACATTGCAGTCCAGGAAGTTATTACAGAAGTCCTCACACAGGTCCTCAACCATTAAAGACCTGGTTAAAAGCCAGAAGGGACTTATTAAGCACACTTTGTTAAGGATAAAGTGAAGGAGCCCCTAACTGACCCTTCGTGTAGTCAACCAAATCAAAAAGCTTATAAAAAAGCCCAGATGAAATGGTCCCAAAATTCAGAGGTGCTAATTAATGCACATTATGATCAGAGTATGCATCAGATACTACAATAGTTAAGTGGCCATGGACAAGAGGGAAGTGTGTCAGCTGACTCATATGTAAACAACATCACTATTTCAAAATAGTACATATTTTCAAGGATGGGGATGCACTTCAGCCCATATGAATTCAGTTGATTTTCATATACAATGTCAATAACTCACCACAATTGGACACAAAAGAATTGTACCTGCTTCCTCTTCAAGTGAATAAGTTTTGGTGACAAGGGTCCAAGTCAACCATTTTAAAATGTGGTAACTTAACAATTCAAACAAAACAGAAGTAAGTCTTCCTGTACACTTCCAGTTTACTTAGATGCCATGTTCATTTTCATAAGAGACAGAGGCCTAAAAAAGTTTTGTAAGCCCAGAAAAAGCACTAAACACTGAAGGTCTTCAAAGAGGTCTCATCTCTGTCTGGTGAGACTATACTTCTGTAGACTGAAGACAGGAAATTCAGATTTAACCTACCTGTGAAACAGTTTGAAATAAACAGGTGCAATGTGAGCAGAGGAATCAGGTACATTCAGTGACCCTTGGCTGAAAAATCAATTTAACAAGTTGTTTTGTACAATGAACAAGTGTGCACTGGGCTTCCAACACACTAGTTACTCATTTCCTCATGCTGCCCCTGTATTGTATTCTGAAGTAAAAACAAGATCATCCAAGTTATGTTCTCTACAATCAAATATGAAATTTTGAAGTAATCCTCCAGCACTTAACTCAAGTACAACTCTTTTTGCTTAGAAAATACAGAAGACTTTCCAACAGATTGCTAGAAAAGATTGCTTTTGGATTTAGGAAACAAAAGGACATTTTCCACCAGGGTTTTTTTGTTGTTTTTGTTTTTTTAAGATACAGAAGACAACATCACTTGGGAAAAGGGATTAAGTGGTTTAGTTGTGAACTGGAATTTAAAGTTTGTGATCTCACAATAACCTGGATGACATGGTTTTAAGGAGTACCTGACTAAAAGAAAGGGGTTATATTTCTATCACGTTCAGTATAAAAAAATGCTTTATTTTGAACAAATTATCTCCATTTGGTGTTACAGGCTTAAAATACATCATATTCATGGGCAAGCAGCATTTCACAGAATAATCAGATAAGCCTAATACAAATAAAGAGGAAGCCACTTGGGATTATCAGTCTTAATTGGTCTAGTCAGACTTCAGGAGGTCCTGTATGCTGTCATTTATTTGAGGTCAAAGAAATCCGTAAATTAACATTTCTGTTCAACAGAAGAGATCCTGACATTTGCAAGCATGAGAAATGGGTATCTTTGGAAAAAATAATCTTATTCTAGGCTTTGAAGATGTGGGAAAGGTAGGCTGGGATAAAGTAATCTCTCTTTTAATTATTAAACCTCATTGGCAGCTTTTGACGGCTTGTGTAAAATAATCAGCAAATGTACCTTTTGAAAACTTGCATTCAAAGCTTCACCACTAGCAGGCAGTATTAGATTAATTGGAAGGCTTGACTGAAGACTGAGTGTATTGCATAAGTATCTTGTACTTATATACACAATACATAGTTCTATAATACTTGTATTTCGGAAGTTCAGCAATGCCCATACTATGCTAGACACTGCATATATGCAGAGGAAGATTTTGCTGGATGTTGAACTGTACCTAGAGAAGCACAAGTGCAATACTGAATCTCACTGATCGTGGGAATACATTAATGCTTTGTCCAACTTAAAGGCCAAATGAAGGGACTGTGTCAATAACTTGGTTTCAGTCTGTACTAATATTACCATTGAGGTCTTTCAGGCAGTGTTGAAACCCTTCAAATGAAAGGAAACTAGGATCTGATTTTCAATGTGCTTAAAAGCATAATTTAAATAATGAAGATATCTTTATATCATATTAAAGATTCTGTTGCTTTTAAGACATTAGTCTTAACCCAACCCCCCCCACCCCAAAAAAAAAAAAACCCCAATAAAAAAACCTTTCAAAATCTAGTTAGTGGAAGCATTCAGCACAGGGCTAGGTTTAACTTGCATTCTGAGCTGGCCCAAAAGTTTATTTAGAAGTCAAGATTCTTACTTCCCTCCATCACTATTATTGAACCACTTTCTAGTCCACAATGCCAAGTTCCAGCAAATTAAATCAACTCTTTAGGCTCAGGTTTTGGAGCTAACAAAATAAGAACTAAATGTGAACAGTCACTATAACCATGCTTCCATATTTATTACACTTTGAAAGAGTTGTTCCTCAAATTTTTAAACACGTTTTTGGCAATTTCAAGACAACCTACAAAACACCAGTAACAGTGTTTCCTCCCTCCTGAGAGTTATATAGTTAAATTGGGTATTTCTTCAGGTACAGTAGGTTGTAGACAGCCTCCCTACAGATCAAACTTTTATACTGTTTTTTGAACTGCTACATAAGCAGACAAGAATTCAATTCTGGCTAGGCAGCTTGCAAAGTCAGCTAACTGCAAAAGTTATTTAACTTTTAATATGTGCCAGCATTCTTAGTTATAGTTCTAAGGCCTTTAAGAGACACTGAATGACAAAATATGTATTCTACATGCCGTATCAATTTATAAGAATGTTTTACAATTGCAATGAAAAAACAGATTAAGACTTGCAATTAAAACTGCTCTTTCTGGGTGCATTTACACATGCACCTTATTGCAGAGTTGACTAATTAGTGCTACAGTAAAGCATCACCATCTACACGTACACTGGTATTAGGGTGTGGTAGATTAACTCTGCTATAAGACAGTACTGTTGGGGACAGCACTATCTTACAGCAGAGTACTTAATTCTGCCAAAATGCACCTGTAGATGGTGACAGAAGCTGGCTACGGCACGAGGGTGCAGGGTCTGCCTGCTCTAGCTCCACACTTTAGTACTCTCATGCCACTGGTCAGCCCTGACTGCCACAGCCACACAGAGCCCAGGGCTGACTCCTTGTGCCCTGTCACCTCAGAGATGTTCCCAGGCACACATGGAGATACTGCTCCTAGGAGCAGCTGATTCCTGCATAAACTGAGCCAGAGTTTATCACATCCTCTTAATAGCATGTGTAGATACACCCTTTGTCCATTAACTTGCTGTGCTATAAACACATTAGGTAGGACAAATACTTTGAACCCATTTCAGGTGTCCTGGAGGTGACAAGGGAGTTAGAGAAGATACACAACACTTTAAACTGGTGTCCAACTTACTGATTATCAAACAGTTAATGGACCGTGGAGCAAAAGACAGCTTCGATTCTTGAATTTTTCTTCTTAGATATCCTTATCCAGAAATTACCCTGCTGCATGGTACGTGCATTCTGGCATCATAACATGCTGACTTACTAGAGGACACTTCATAATTTTAAAGTTACACACTACACTAGATACATTTTCTTTCTAAGCTATTATCCCAGAGGTGTGTGTGCACGTATGTGTAGAATCCCAAGTAAAATTTAACTATAAATTCTGGCAAAGCCAAGAGTAGTAACTCAGCTACTCTGCAGTGTTTAGAGAATAGGCTTTAGATTTTACACCAAAGAACTGGATTTATTGTAAATGCCACAGTCACAGTGATAGACAGTGCACAGACTTCTAGTAACAAACAAACATACATATTTTGTAACTAAGCATTTCTATTGGGTAAATAAAAGCGCTTCGCACAGCCTTCCTTTAAATGTGCCTAAACTAACCTAAATAAGCAGACAACATAGCAGAAAAGGAAAATTTAGGTGGGTAACTTTCTTAAGCAGTATATTTGTCCCCCCATGTATATAATTTACATTATATACATGCATTTTCATTAACAGTTTAATTCATACCTGAATGTAAAGACTGGCACACCTCCAATACAATTGCCACCTTTTAACTCAAGCATAGTTAATTCCAGGTATTTGTCAAGATAGAGGAATGACAGTTAAAAAGACTTCCCCCACAAGAAACAAGTTACACAAAGAATACTGTATCACTACAAATTTTTATTCAGAAGCCCTTCTTTAAAAAAATCTCATTACGAACTTGTTTGGTCAAACTACACCACTTTCTAGCAGACATACAGTAAAAATGGCATGGCTCAGAATCGACCAGATCTTTCACGGTCTCTCGACCGCCTCCTATCACGTTCCCGTCCTCCACCTCCTCCTCCTCCGCCGCCACCACCACCGCCACCACGACCACGATCTCTGGATCTAGAACGACGTTCACGGGACCTCGACCTGGATCTATGCCTTCAAAAAAGTTGTAATACGTAAATGTTTCACCACGTTCAATATGACAGTAACATCCTACAGAGAACTCAAAGATCAACTAAAGCAGTAATAAGATAGCACTCAGGCAGGTGTGGTCTGCAAGACCACAGAAAGAAGTTCAATTGCAAGAGTCCACATGTGTAATGAAGACTGCTGTCAACTATTAGATATGGGGTAACCAACTTATGGCATGCATGCCAAAAGTGGCACAGGCAGCTGCTTGGTATTTAGCACGCGAGGCCCAAGCACCTCCATTCCACCAGCCCAGGGTGCAAACTATCAGGTACATCTTTGAGGGGGGCAAGGATGAGGATGGCACTCAGGAAGGGTCGGGGCACACCTATCAAAGGCTGGCAAACACTGTTAGATTTCTTGTCCAAATGGCAAGCAAAGACTCAGTGACAGCAAGACTCCTCCCTCTAACTGTACTAGTACATAATAGGTTGTAGTAGTAAGAAAAGGGAAAATCTTCACAGCCATCAGCAGGTTTTCCTGAACACAGCAAATCTACAGCCCTTTTGAAATAATTTTCATTAAACATATTAGACATCTGAGAAAGCATTAACCAGTCAATTCCTCTATTTCATACACATAAAATTTCTTTGTTTACATGTATGCTGGAAATTCCTGTTTACAAGAGGCAGCCCAGATTTAAGAGGCCCCACTTTTTAAAATTAAAAAACAAGGATTTTCTGTATCAATTTCCCCACTAGCAATGTACCCGAGTAACTGGCACATAGCCACCTCCTCTCTAGCCTCTGCTTTCTCCACCACAGAGGAAGTCAAACAATGAGTTCTATCACCACAGAGAATGCAGCTCTGCCACAGTTACTGCAGGGTTACAGACTATGGACCCATGTTTCTTAGGGGCAGGAAGTGCACAGGTCACAAATATACTAGAAAAAAAAGTTTTACACCAATCAGAATATAAAACCATGCATTCAAAGCTTCCGAGGGTATGCTATTTTATTTAGAAGTATGGTACAGGGCTAACATAAGAACTGATATTCTGCGTTCACCTCAACTGCTGAACATGCCAGGTTTATTACTGTAGAGGAGTTCAGTGATCAATGTGACAAAAAGACTGGTTCTGCTGTGATACAGGAGAAACTGGTGCCTTAAAAAGAAGGCATGCTTGTAGGAGGCAGAAAATGAAAAAAGTGCTCTGTGTTGACCATCTACTTTATTGTCCCTTTGATTTTGAAAAATTTGGCACAAGCTTCAGTCCCATTATGGCTAAACTATTTGCATGACCTGTTTAAAGTCCAATTCACAAACTCAAAAGGGAACAGTTCCAAACCGTGCTTCCTTATAGCAAAGCTCACTGCTAGTATGGGTCAACTTGGGTTTCACAGATGATTTATTTGCAGCCTAAGGTAAGTAAAGTGGGGAAGGGGGAGGGAAGAGCATCAAATTGCTGTTTGTGCTGACAGAGGTGGAAACTGGGATACTGGGGAACTGCTACATTCCAAGGACAGATACAGACAAGCGAGAGTTCTCACTGCAGGAAGAGTGTTTGGCAAAGGGAAAAGAGATCAAGATTCAGAGAAGTGACCATATGGCTCCTAAATTGATAACATTTTGACAATGTTTTATTTTAAAGGTTCTTAGCATAAATATTGAAGCCGATACAGACATTAGCCTGCAATCTCAGATGGACTCGTATTTAACTGGGGAATTCTCATTAAAGCAGTTACTCAACTGTTTTGGTTTTTTTTGCACAAATGATACAATGTTTACTTTTTGCAATGCACTTTCTAATCCACTAATTTTGTACATCTGAGGGGAACAAATAAAGTGTCAAATTGGTTGCAGTGGAAATTGAAGTCTTATGAAGAAGATGCATATTGCATTGATAGAAGCAGTATTAAATTGTCCACAAGGTAAACTTACTTCACATTCACCAGTTTATCAGAAGCTTCTTGCCATTCTGTGACGTTCACTTTCCTTTGCCACCTTTACATCAATCATAATAACTTCAGGTGTTTATCAAGACAGTTAAAGAGACTTGCTTCACAAAGATGCAAGTTATACTAAATATTGCATAACTACAATTTTTTTAGTTCAGAAACTATCAATACTAGAACCCTTACCAAAGAGAGGAACAGGAGTACTAACTATTATAAGTTTTGTGATGCTAGCATCAACTTGTGGTATGGCTAAATTTCAGGACATCCTTTCCAGTTTCTGCCCACATCCTAGATATAAAAACTCACAATCAGTTGTGAAGTGGGACACTTCCTTTCTAGATCCTCTGATAACACTAGCTTTGGTTCTTTAAATTTTGTCATGAAGTAGCAAAAATAGCCAGAATAAAATTTTGAACATCTATGAATAATAGATGACTTTATGGCATAAATGCAACAGGAGAGCAAGCAAAAGCTTAAATTCTTCTTAAGTTAAATCTTATTGTTTTGCATTAAAATGTTTAGGAAATAAAACAGCTAAATTACTCCCGTCGGTTGGAGCTTAACTTCAATTACAGATACTCACTTCTTACGACGACGCCCATATAACTCACGTCGTAATTCTCGAGAAATGGGCTTCAAATGCATAAAGTTACAGAAGCCTCCTCGTGTGCACTCTCTGAAACAAAATTAAGAAAAAAAGTTACCACAACGAAATTCTTTTCTCCTTACACTGTCAATTTTTTGTATTGCATTAATTAGTACAACATTCTGTACCAAATCTGAGTGGTTACTTAGCCATGCCCACTAATTTTAACTCTCTTTTTTAATATTACACTAAAAATGCATCTGTTTGGTAAAACATTTTAACTGGCCAGAAGTGGCAATTCAGCTTGTGATTCACAGGAACTAGCTATGTGCCCCATGTCTGAACAAGAACTGAAATTTATGGATATGAAAAGACTGAGTGCACATGGGTACTACAGCACATGAATTGCACCTGCTCTGCATGTCAGTATTACTCCAAGGTTCTCTCCTGCATTTCTGTTGATTGCTTTGTTTTTCACGCAAGCCATTATGAAAAGAAAATTTGGGGGGGGGGGGGGGGGGGGGGCCTTCTCTGAAGTCAGTCACAGGAGAGAGCTCAGCATGAATTGGCTGCCCATTAAACCAACGGTTGTTCAGGTCAATCACAGCTTTTTCTGCATCTTCTTCACGACGAAACTAAATAAAATAAAGAACCACAACAATTTCTCAAGAGGCTGCACAGAAATAGGTCAGATATTCCCACTAAATCAATGACTGAGTACCCAAGCAGGTCATTCAGGACCAACTAACCACTTTTGTGGTCGAGAATCTTTTTTAACACCACTAACCCACTGAAGCAAGTGCAAGTATGATATGGCTTTTCACTAACTGTTGTTCAAAACAAGCCTAAAAAATTCTCTATTCCACATTTTATTTGGCTTTACTTCTAAAGCACCGCAACTCATAAAGACATGAGTGCATTTGATTTAAAGAGCAAACAATTTTACGTAAACAGGCAAAAGGTCTGACAATCTTCTCTTCCCAGATTAGTATTCCACAAAATCATGTAAATTAATACTTATGTTCAAGACACTAACTAGTCTTGCAAGTATGCCACATACTACCTCATTCAGATGCTTGGAAGTTACTATCTACAAACATGAAATCAGCTTAAGGATATTTGATAATTAGGGCTCAAATCAGCTATCCCCAAGCTATAAGGCTTATTAAAAACATTTAAGCACACAAGTTCGGGATCATCCAAGTCAAGGGTGGGAAATTATTCGGGCCCATGGACCACATAGGCAGTTCTGGGGAGCTGCTGTGGGCTGGTCAGCACCCCTCCTGCTCTGGAGCCCACATACCCTGTGGCTCCTCCCTACCACTGCCCCAACCCTGACTCTGGTCCACTCTGCCTTTCTAGGCAGTCCAGGCTGCAGTGGTGGCTCCTTCTGGCTGCCACTGTCACTGGACCCAGCCCTGGAGTACTGGTGGGGACCCACGCACCGAGCCCTGACCCCAGCCCGCCCAGCTCCTGCTCCAGACTTGGCCCAGCAGAGTGGACCAGCTAGAATCTGCATACACAGCCCTGACCTGGCCTGCCATGCACCTACTCTGGACCACCCAGCCATGCTGAGCAGCAGCAGCCAAGCAGAAGCACAGGCGAAACCTCCCACCCCACCACTGCCAGGCCCTTCTTGCTGAAGCTGCAAGAGCCCATGCCCAGGCTGCCTTGCTATTCCTTTCTGCCACCTCTAGCCTGCCCAGCAGGGCAGCAGTGGCAGTGCAAAAGAGCTGCAGAGCAGTCCAAGAGCAGGCTCAGGGTGGCTGCAGCAAGAAGGGCCTGATAACAGCTAAGGGGAGGGACTGCTTTCCCACCCCACATCCAGCAACAACTTCTGCTGCCACTGCTCAGCATGGGCAGGTGAGTTTGGAGCAGGTGCAGGGTAGGCCAGAGCTGTGTGCACATGTTCTGGGTGGTCTGAAGCTGGGCTGCTCTGCTGGACCAAGCCCGGAACGGACACGGGGCAGGCCAGGGTCAGGGCTATGCACATGGGTCCCTGCCAGTACCACAGGGCTGGGGCCAGCAGCAGCAGCAAGGAGCCGTTGCCACCTGGGCTGCCTAGAAAGGAAATCCAAATGCAGAGCCACCCTACCCCACCCTGCTGCACAACCAGAGGGCAGCAGGAAGTGCCGTGGGCCAGACAGCAGGTGGGCAGGGCAGGACCAAGGGACCCACTGCGGGCTGGACAAAGTCCCTCCTGTAGACCATATTTTGCCCACCCCTGAACTAAATATTTCTACATTTCAGAATTGATAACACTGCCAAGGATGAAAAAGCAGGAAGCAGGCATACGATTTTTTTTTAAATTAATCAAACTACCCAGGAGAGCATAGAAAACACCAACAGACTCTCCCTACGCATGAAGAAGGGTGTTTGCGCTCGAAAGCTTGCAAAGAACAATTTTTCAACTATTTCGTTGGTCTAATAAAAGATATCACATTTACCCGAAGAACTTTGTCTGCCTATGTCCTTACACCAACATGGCTACAACTAACAACCCTAAAGGTTAAGGGTAGCACCTAAAATTTGGGACACATTAACACAGCCACCCTCATATTCAAGTAGAGATACTGACTATCCAGCATTCATTTTGTTTTAAAAGTGTTAGGCTTGTACAAATACCTTTCATTAGTATGCTAAACAAAGAGATGACAGTTTGAATAGAGGTAACCACCATTATATATGTAAATTAGCTTTATGTCCAGGCTGAGCAAGGTGAAAAGACTAAGGTTATTTGCATTCCAATACTCAACTGTTAGCAAGACCACAAATAATTTTTTTCAAGTAGCTGACCAATTAAGCCTCTTTCTAATTTTCAGGTTTATATGGAAATTAGAGAAGTAGAGCTGGAAGGGACTTCCAGAGATCACCTAGTTCAACCCCGCTCCCGAGGCAGATCATTCCTATCCAAACCATCCAATACAATCCATAATTTAAACTCTACAGAAGACTACCGTCAACTCTGATGCAACACAGATATAACACCCTAATCTGCTGGATGTAGAATAGGTGAACCATAGCAGCCAATTGGATTGGTCCAGCAATTACCATTTAACTGCAAATTTCTTAAGTTACTTTTATAGTACACACTTCTGGCAACTATAATCGTTACAACAGGAAAGGAGAAAATGGCCTTGTTTTCATAAGCAAAATTATTTTAAGAGTGCATCCTTTTTAAACTTTCTTCAATACCCCATAACATTTGCTTTTCCATTTTCCCTGGTTTGGATTTTAACTGCAACACATCACTAGACTGTAAAGTTATACGCTTCCATTAGAATGCTATCATGCTTTTGCAAATGTTAACTGTACGCATTAAAGAAAATCAGAATTCATGATATACTGTGGAGTTCCTGTGTCCTACCTTGACATACACGTTTCCAACTAGATGATCTCCAAGGTTATCACAAACATTCATCTCCTCAACTTCACCATACTTCTCTTCCATTTCTGTGAAGACCTCCTAAATATAGAAAAAACGATTGAAAAAAAAATCTCGTGCAAATTAAATAACTTCTCCACATAAAAAGACAGCTGATTAATGCCAAGTAGGAAAACAGTTCTCTCTCTACATGCCTGTTGCATGGTTTTCTAGACATGCCTAGGCAACATCTAGCACACAGTGGCTACTACTTGGATAAAATAATGAACCATAAAAATTGTTCTTTTTTTGTATTTGGGAAACGTATCAGTGTTTTGGACTGCTCTCACAGACATAACTTTAAGAAAGTAAAGCCAATCCAATGTTTCAGTCTACTCCATTTCCAAATTTATTAACCAAGACTCAAGTATATTTTGACGTCACGTAGGTATAGGTGAAATAGGTGAACAAAGGGAATTATATTCTAGTCATCCATTAAGAACAGGTTCTTGGAACAAAATACTCTAGACCCCAGAGTCTTTGCAGGATTAGGTTCTCAATCCCCCTATTGAAGGTGAGGGGCTCATGAACAAATCAGGAGTATATAAAGCTGCAGCTGTTTGGGGTTTTTGTTGTTGTTTTTGGTCCCAAACCGAAAGTTTACATTTTTGCCCACCCTCCCCCACCACTCCTCTGCAATAGGCATTGCCACAAACTACTCACTTTTGCAAAATCAAGATTGTCTAAAGATTATGATTTATTTTAATCAGTAAGTTAACATACCTCAAAGAATTCATCATAATGTTCCTGCATCTCAACATCGCTCACAGCACCTGCAAATACCAAGTGTCATACTGATTAGAATGCATATTTTAAGTGATGAAAGGATTCTGAACATACTATACAATAACTTAAGAGAAACCAGAAGAAGCCATCTACTGGAGCATAAGAGATGCCATGTAGCTAATCATTAGGAATATTAAGCATAATTGTGAGCAGTCTTGAGTCCCAAAAGAAATAGCTCGGAACGTAATACTAATATGGTCCAAAAGTTTTAATCAGCATCCAATTGATAAACTCAGAATTTAAGGGGAAAGGACTTTGAAATATTACTCTGATTAACAGTAGATTCCCACCCTCAATGATTTTACCTAAACTTAAGGCAAGTGATTTGTCATATTAACTGTTTTAAGGCGTTACAATTAAGAATTATGTTCCTACAGGAAGAGCTTCATTTTAAGTTGTTCATTCCTTCAGTACAAATGCACTGAAGTTTAGGGAGAAACTGATGCGATTAAAACTGCAGCTCATCATTATCCAAAGAATGTGTTTAGAGCAGTTCCCAAAGTGATGCACTTTTCTCATGCCCTCAGTAAAGTGTGAAGCTATATGCTTTGCAATAGAAAGTATTTTTTCATTTAATTTTAATGCCAATTTGTTTTTCATAATATTGCAAAACTCTTTTGGCGCAACAGAAGCTAGCCACATAGGCATTTTAGATATTTTTTATGCTCCTTTGCAGGTGAATTTCTTTTTACCTGCTGCTACAGAAACTGATGTAAGTTAAGTTTTGCTGATTTTTTTCAAAGCATTATGACTAGCAAAAGAAGTTACAGTCAATATTTCCAGTCCTATGGCATTTTATTATACATTTAAAAGCCATATACATTAAAGCTAAACTGATTGTTTCCATCAGTTAAGCAGCTTAATTAAGATCAAGGGAATTTTAAAAGAGGTCCTGCATTTAAAACTTAAAGATGGATGCTTTTTATAAATTTAAAAAGTACCCCAATCAAGCAGTTCAGGCTCAAGACATTTAATCAGTTTCCAAATTCAAAAACTATTTGTTTTTTTTAAGTCTCCTTTGGTTATGCAGGAATGCAAGACAACCCCATTTAGTCAACATTCACTACAGTTTAATAGCTAACCATATTCCAAGGGCTGTGCCAACAATGATGATAGCATACTACCACCTAGTTCATTTTGTTTTAAAAGACATCAGGTTCCATAGGGAAAAAAAGAGGGCATAATCAAGGGCATAATAAAATGTTTACAAAATGGGAAATTGCTAAAATCTACTACGGAGATTTCACTGTCAATTTAAGAGGCTATAAAACAGAAATACATGTCAAAAGTACTTGAGTGTTTTTCTAAGGTGGGAAGGGTACACATCATACATAAGACTTTACAAACATTCAAGAGCCAGGGCTACCAGCCTCTCACCCTTGAGAAGCCCATCTATCAATTAAATCAGTCAAAAAACTATTACTGGTAAAAACTAAGGTTAATCCTTTACGACGACAATGAAAAGGAATACAGTCAAGCAACAATATAAGCATTAAAAATATCTACCCAGGTTATCCGTTATAAATACATGCATTGTTTAAAACAGGGATAACATTCACAAGCCTGGGGAAAAGGGGGTTTCAACAAACCCACTGATAACAGGGCTATAGCTGTACCACATCAGGTACAGTTAGGCTCTGTTAAGTAATTACCCATTTATCAAGATTTTAAAAAGCTAAAGTTTGATACCAACATTTAAATACTAGTTTGGATAATATTTATTTCAATTAAAGACTCTTGCAGAGTCTGGGCAAATATAATCTAAACAGCTCCACAGCAGGCCAAACTTTGACTTTGAGCAAATTAGTTACCAGCTCATTGAGAATTTAGCTGACATGTAGGAAATACCCAATATCCACCTGTATGTTCTTAACACTGCTAGAATGAAAGGCCCAGAGGCCAATAAGACTAAGGCTATACAAACAAGTAACTTATTCCATTTTTACACAAATGCCCTGTTTGATAACTGTAATGCTATAAGTATTTAAGTGCCCTTTAACAGGGGTAGTAATTTTGTTTCAAGGAGAAAGAGGTGGTGCTTATTCTACAAGACATTCATTTTGCAAATCACAGTGCCCATTCTGAAATGGGTCTGATTTCAGAAAATGCCTGAGTATACGCTGGTAACTAATCTGAACTAGTCTAGGATTCAACGGTTAAAGGAATAGCTAAACAAAACTATTACCACACAGACAATGTCCAATTCATAACAAGGTAAGAGTTAGAAAAATACCACCCATTCTTTTTAATTCTAAAGCTTGTGTCTTATTTTAGTGTAACTGATCAATTGCAACAGATTAGGAAGCACAGATTGACAATTATTAATGTCATTTCAGTTTACTTTTTGCCCATTTCCTACTTCTAGTAGAATCAGGAAATAATTTCCTAACTCTACCCAAACAGCTTCCTTTCCTCAGTGTACTCTTTATATTTTTCCTACTATATAGATATGCAACTCAGTAACTTGCTTTGCAAATTCAAATTCCAGGAGTCTTAAACATCCACCTAACTAAAAGGACAACTACCCAAGAGTAGCTTTCAGCAGTCTAAATGCACCTTCCAAAGTAATCACTACATGGAAGCTGCACCATTAGCCTAAGATAAATTTTTGCATGCAATCTGAAAAGTTCCAAATTCAACTGCTTTTAATATGAATATAGGGTGGCTAACACGTTCAGGATGAAATTAGTGTATTCTGTCCTACTTTCTGGACAGTAGAATCTAATGCATTAGCATAAAACATACAGCAAAAACATTTCTAGGATGCAAGTGGCAGGGGGGGAAGGAGGGAAGAAGAGCAGTAGATAAAAACTGCTCTGTAGGGGATACCATTTTGACCACTTTTTGTTTTAAAGAATGAGTATCCGAATTCTCCTCAGAAACAAGTTCTTGTGGAGGTGAGGACAAAAAAAAAAAAAAACAAAAAAAAAAACCAAAAACACAAAAAATGTTTGATACATTATGAAATGTGGTCAGTTTGATCCGTTAAAACTAAAATGGTAGACCAGCTTAAGTCGACACTGAGCTCTGACAATCAAGCCCAGGGAACCAGTGAAGGAACTAGTATGAACTTACAGCGCAAACCGTCAGCAGACTGGGAAGAGTTTTGAGGGTTACGGTAAATGTTCAAGAGGGCAATGGTCTGAAATACAAAACGCAACAACTTTATATTATGGAAAATAAATTTAACACGAAACTGGTTTCCTTTAGGTGATCGCTTTAGTCGAGTTCCAGGGCTGAAAGAGAGGTAGTTATAATCTCCTAAGAGGGAGAATTTTCCCTTAGCTGGTGGCCTTTCTGTATAAACCTAACACTGTAAAGCAATAGAGATCTCATACTCCATTATTGTATTTTTAATATTAAAAAAGACTTTGCTCACCAATGTCATCATAAAGGAATTAAGATAGGGTTGCACAAAAATATTTATATAATCAATGTTATCAAAATGTCACAGTAACAGCTATTATATGCAAGGTTTTAGGCATAATCATTTGTTTGAATCTGGCTTTAGTCAATATTTTAATTTTTTTTTTAGAAACATCACAACCCACAAAATATATTGAAATAGAATAGGCTCTGTTCTATAATACAATAATTAGAGAACAATATGAAATCTCCATTCAAATTAAAATGTGAAATAAAACCTGTAATTCTGGGCAACTTACCGTACATCATAAATATACCTATGTTTTCATAGCATATCAAGAACTTGAGAAATGCCTGCAGTTTAATTACTTAAACAAAATTAGAATGCAACACTCAATGACAAGGTATTAACAGCACATTAACAAATTTTGAACTGAGAAGTCCAACTGGTTTACTCTCTTTAAAACAGACTTGTTGCACTCTAATTGCATACATTTAACAAGTTCTTGATATGTGTGCAAGAAGAGTTCCATCACTTGTCCTGTTTGCAACAGCTTTATGTCAGCAGCTCAGAAGTCAACATTGTTTTCTCAATTAGGAGTGGGCTCTTTAACACCATTCTTTAAAAAAATCTCTCCAACTGTGGGACTTACAGTGTGAGCCGTCAGCCGTCTGTGCACTGTTTTGGGGGTTACGATAGATGTTTTGAATCAAGATGGTCTGCGGGGAAAAAAAATAAAAAGGGGAATTCTACTGGCTGCTGTGCATATAATAGACAATTGCAAAGAGACAACTTGTTTGCAAACAGCTAAAAATAAAATTTTATTCACAAGATTCCCTTTTTTATTTGTGGAATATCTTCTGAGATAGCATCTCAACCATCATATTATGAAAACAGTTAAATTAACCACCAAGAAAGAGCTGTGTATGTTTTTTCTAGTGAAGTTTCCCAAAGACAAGATTTGGTAGTGATTATTTAATGATGAGCTCATGCCAGCCACAAAACATCTTGAATACAAGATGTTGGACGATGAGCTCATGACAGCCACAAAACATCTTGAATACAAGATGTTGTTATATATTTTCTTGAACTTTGATTTTGCCAGATTTGTTACCATGGGCCTAGAAAAAAGTTGCAGTCTGTAACACATGCGCAATATTGCATACAATACCTTAAATGCTTAAAATATTTTCTCAGACACCATCAAGCTATCTCATTTTGCTTCAACAAGCATTTTCTTGGTGGATTCTCTGTTTATATAATATAATAGTTTAAAAAATGTCCACGTTTTCCGATCCTTCAATTAAGGACAATATCCTTCTAGCCCTTCTGCTTTTACTTGAAGAATTAGATCAGGCAGACTTGAAACCTTACATTTGTACCGTTCTTCTTAAAATCAAGTTGTCTGAAAAAACAAACCATGTTTAAGTTAGTAAACTAACATTACATAAAATTCCAATGTCCACATCACTGTATGTAGCTCAAAAAGATTTAGAGTCAATTACTTTAAAGTGCAAGTTTACAATTAAAATTAGCATGACTTTTCATCCCCAAATTAATTTTACTAAGGCAGTAAAAAATTATTATTTAAAACGGAGCCAGCAACCTATGTATGGTGGTCCTACAATATGGTAAAGGACATGCTAGGTGATAGCTTTAAACCTTCTGAGACACAGAGACTATGTTGCTGCTCACTTGCCAACATTTCTTGATGCCACCCAGTGGTAAGAATATATACTGTCATAATTAAATCATACACTGATTTTATCAACATGGCACTCCCAAAACAATGTCAGCACAATGAGCACTCCATTAGTAAAATCTGTTCATCTATTTTCTATCACAGCTGATTTCTATTACCTGCATAAATAACTAATTCCAAAAATCAGATCAACTGCAGCTGTCAGATTCATTACCGGCATCACAATCTAGCATGTCTGCAAAGTGCAGCACTACAGACACCGATCAGTGATGCCACTAAACAATGGTGACAAGCCCAGCAGTCCACTTAACTGCCATTCCTTTTTATCACTTCCAGCAAAAGCAAATCTCTCAGCAGCACAGAAAAAATGATTTTGCTGGTTAAGAAAAAATTATTTGGAGAGAGATTAAAAAAAAAAAAAAAAAAAGGCTCTGCAAACATATTTAGACACCCAACATGGAAGGCAACTATCTATTTCTAAAGTTACGTGATAGGAAGTCAGTGGCAGAGTTGGAAATTAAGTCCAGGTCTCTTAATAGGCTAGTATATTAGCCTCACAAATACAGAAAATGTTAAAGCAAATAATTTAAGTACCTCAGATGATACTACAGTAAAAGCTGCGTTAACCAGCACCTTACAAGCCAGCACCCTCTATTAACCAGCATGCCAGCTTGTAAGGTAAAAGCAAAACTGGAAGTGCCCACAGTGGTACTTCCAGTTTCGCCGAACCCCCACGGCCCAGGGCAAAGCAGCCTGCGCTGCCAAGCCCCCAGGGCCCGGGGCATAGCAGCCTGCGCTGGGTCCACCTCCCTGTCCCTTGGGGCCCATGGGAGGGGCGGCAACACCCCAGACATGGCGGGAGAGGCGGTGGTCTGAAAGGCAAAGATGCCTGTTCGGGCCTCTCAGTTAACTGGCATATTTTGTTATCTGGCACCCATGGGGAATGGGGGGTGCCGGGTAACAAATATTTTGTTGTACTTAGTTTAACAAATTTGCAGGAACAATTTTAAAGCTGCTACTTGAAATGGGAAAACTACTTTAACTGAAGGAAGGGAAGCAATTCCCCTTTGTCATAGCTGAGGCATATTAGCAGGGGACTCCACTGTTGCATATGCTATATTTATAGGGATAAAGTCAATAAAAATTTTCATATGCACCAAAACAGTTTTGATGCATATGAAAATTGTTTTACTGACTTTAACAAATACAGGAGAATCTTCTGTGTGCCTTGACAATCAGCAGTGATAGAAAACAAAATAGAAAAGCTTAAATAAGAGATTCGATATATTAATTTCTGCCAGTGTGGAAGAGGTTCTTTGAGAATTGTAGTATTAATAAACGTGCTGTAAAAATAAATAAATAAATACAGATATTTAAGCCCTATTTTGCTGCTAACACTAGTTCAGCCAAGGGCAGGATAGTCTGTACAGTCAAATGGTTTAGGTCCATACACAGGTAGACAGGCAATGCTGAGAAACCATTCTTCCACACCCAAAATGCTGAGCAAGTCCAAGCCCAACATTTACAGCCCAGGTTGGAGATCAAGAGACACTAAGGGAACCGTCTCTTTCGTTCATGTCAGAGGAGAGTCCTAATTGGTAAACAAAAAAGAACTTGTGTTCTTCTATTTGGGATTGGTGCCACTGTTTGTGATATAACCAGTTTGGGATGGTTTAAGTGCCTACACATCATTGAGAAGGCACACTCACCTGAAAGTTAGCACTGGTTGGTCTCTACTACAGGCAAGCTTACAACAGCATCGCTTCCTGCAGCCATTAAGGGTGACAGGAGACAATTAGAAATGCTGGGAGAAGAAAATCGGAACACCCCCAGAAAAATCCCATAAAAACTGGGGCAAAAACCAAACTATTTAATTTTGAATTTTATAACTATTATTTTAAAGAAACATATATACAAGTTCAAATAGAAAACACAAACCTGGCTAAATGTTGGCTTATTGTGTAATCGAGAACATCTGTCTCCATGACGACAAGCTCCAATTTTGAAATAAAATGAACAGTTGACTCTGCAACAAACACACAAAAGATAATTAGTTGCCTATAAAAATTCAAAGCGATACTACATTAAAATGCAATTAGCAAAACAAGCATAGTAGCTCGCAGCTTAACCCTGAAGTCCACAATTACTTGTTGAGCAAGTCCAGCAACTGGACTAGCTGGCTTGCAACCATTTTCCTTTCTCCCCCCAGTCCATGAATAGACTGACCTAATGAACATCAGAACAGCCTAGAACATCTACAACCTAAGGTTTATTCAGCCCCTTATAGTTGCATTCAGCTCGTCAGTAGGAAAAGCCCCTGATCAGCAGGATGATCATTTCTTTCTTCATTTCACCATCTACACCAGGCTCCCATGTCTCTTTCTCCTTTCCAATCCTTATATCCCTATTCATTATGCAGTTTCACATTTCTTCTTCCCTTGTCAGCTTCACCCCATTCCATTTTTTGATCCTAGGGGCTAAAAGGGCATCAATTAAATACCTGAAATTTCAGAATGTCAGTACGAGGCTTTAGAATGAATACGTCAAACAAAACTGAAAAAGGGCAGAGCAAGAAACACATCTTAAAGCCATGCTTTCAGAAAGTCTGCAGACTTCACCAGTTAATCAATTTACATCTGAAAGATTATAGTCAATCTGGAATATAAAAGCCTGGGCTATGTCTACATGAGGAAGCCATAGTAATTATAATACAGACATAGTTCAGTGATACTACATCTTACTGTGGACTACAAGAATCAATAGCAAGGTGTTTTATGCCAGTATATTTCCATTTAGTTTAATTACAAAGCTTAATCATACCCCTGCCACATACCCAGACCCACCCACCCACGGTTACACTGCCATACCTTTCAAATGTACAGAGGCCTAATTTAAAATGAAAGCTGAGATTGTACAGAATCTGTTAAACCTACATGTGTTGTATGCAGTTAACCCAAGGGTTGGCAACATATAGCCCATGGGTTGCATCCAACCTATGGAGCTGGAGGGTTTTGCTTTGTGCCTGTGTTCACACCCAGGCCAGGGCTGCACAGCATGCACCTGTGTCTGCAGCACTACCATTTCTCCTTGCCCCCTGCCACAACTGGGAAGAGGACATAGCTTTCAGCTGGTGGGGAACTATGCCAGAGTCAGGCAGCTTGTAGCTGCACCCCTACTTCAGCAGAAAGCAGTGGGAGGGGTGGTGGGAAGGAAGCAGGGAAAAGCAGCAGCACCCATGCTGCAGCCAGGGAACAGGAACTTGAGAAAAGTAAGCAGTAGCAGCAGACAGCTCCCAGCTGCTTTGCCCTGACATGGGTGCAGGGACCTCCCCCACCTCCAAATGTGCCACAGAAGCTAACCAGCCCACATCAGATCTGAGCCAGGTTATTCTAGCCCACAACTGGTCAAAGGCTGGTGGCTGTCCAGACTCTGAGAAATACAGTTGATGCCACTGCTTTAATTATCTTAAATCCATAACATGCAATTTTACTTAAAAGGCAAAATGATCCAAGGCCATTCTTCTGCCATTTGAAAAGAAAAAAAACAACCTGCAGGGGTATGGAGCCTTGGATATCCTATTATGACAAATTGATGTAAACCTTATCTTGACTTACATGCATATATACAAGGCAAATCTGTATGTTAGTTTAAACAAGTTCCCTGAACAAAATAAGCAATGAAAATAGGACCTTTTTTCCAGAACTACCATATTTCAGAGAGTACAAGTCGAGGTTTAAAGTCTAATTATTAACTATTAAAATTCAACCTTGCCTTACACACCATATCTCCATCCCCTGCAAGCGGCACCAGGTTCAGTGCCCAGCTGGTGCAGCCCCACCCCCTGCAAGCAAGACTGGTACAGTCCAGGCAATGCCGCTCATAGGGGATCTGGCTGTGCCAGCAGAGCCCAACGCTGTTCGCAAGGGATGGGACAGGACTGGACCCTATGTTCAGCTGGCACAGCCCCGTCCCCTGTGAGCATCACTGCCTTGGCCACACCAGTGCTGCTTACAGGGGATGGGGCTATACGAGCCGAGCACTGAACCCCCCACCCCCTGCAAGTGATGCTGGGCTTGGCAGTGCCGCTTGCAACAGATGGCCAGGCTTGGCACTTGGCTGGTGTGGCTCCCCTGCAAGCCTGGCACTGCTCACAGGGGACAGGGCTGAGCTCGGCACTTGGTTGGCATGTGCCCATCCCCTGCAAACCTGGCGCCACTCACAGGGGTGGGGCTGGGCTCAGTGCCTGGCTGGGGACATGCTGCTCACAGGGGACAGGGTTGGGCACAGTGTTCGGCTGGCATGGCCCCATCCCCTGCAAAAGGTGCTGCTGGTGCCACTTGCAGAGGATGGGGCTGCGCCAGCAAAGCACCAAACCTGGCCCTGACTTATACACCATGCATACAAAAATCCTTACCTTTCAAAATTGGGAAGCTGGGGGTTGACCTATACACCATGAAATATGGTATATCTACATTAGGCTTTGCTGGCATAGGGACTGCCTCTTCCCTTACCTCTCAAATCCTCAAGATCAGCTGAGAGCAACCCTCTGAAAGGTCCATCTGTGCATCAAATTAATTTAGCAAGACTACGTGGGAAGCTGTTCGTGGTAGTAACTCCTCTGCTTTGGAGACACCCCCCACTCCTCCACCACTGAAACCCATTAAGAGTCCAAAACTAGACATCTTCTGGATGTGGTACAAGATCTTTATTTTGGCAGGCTTTTTGCAAGTGGGGTTAAGTACTGGGGTACTGTTTGGGGAGCTGTTTCATTACTGTTTTATTTTCATATTTTATCTGTTGCTATAGTTTATTGCAAGCTGCCCTGAAGCTATTTTTGGGGAGGAGTGCCATATAAATCAAATAAATAAGTAAAAAGATGTATCATTTAAAGGATGTGATTTTTCTCCCATATATTCCTTATCCTTCCTGATATGATTACACCACCAAAATTTTCTGGTCTTGAATCTACCACTAACAGCTTAGGTTTCAAGCTAATAAATCACTAGTAAGAATGTCAAGGCTCCCCCACCACAAACAAAAAAGACTTCCTGGTAAATAATGTCTCTCCAAAGAAGACTGCATGGAAGCACCATGAGTGGGAAACCCCAGGAGGCTAAGTGTCAGTTTCTGGCATGAGACTACAGAGCTTTTTAAAAACATTTTTCAGCATCCTGCTGCCTCCCCAAGAAACAGGGGTAGTGAAGGCAGAACACTTGTACTTCCAGAGGTATGAGACCTACCCCTGGACAGCTCTTTAGCACCTGAAATGTGATTAGCACCACACTACAACTGTAACCTCCTAGCCCAATTTGGCAGGCTGCAGTAGTATGCCAAACTACTGTAACTTAATCAGGAAAGGACTTTATTTCTTAAAACTACTTTGCTTAGAAAAGGTTTATCCCATGGGGGAGGCAATTAGATAGGACCGATAGAAAATTCCTCTGTATGGCCAACATGGCCTATGTGCATATATGTAAAAAAAAAAAAGTTATTTTTCTTTACCACTACATTAGTAATTTATGCGGAAGAGAAAGAAAGGTAAAGCTGCTCATGTGCCAGGCCCCTCATACTCCCCACCTTAACTCTGGTACTCTCCACAGCTGTTTCTAAGGCTCCTGGTACACGTTACATACATTACACAACTAACTGTGTAATCCCACAATACATGCAGACTGCCTACACGTGCAAAATACTTATTGCACCATTAACTGGTTAATCCGGGCAATCAATGTCGGTCGCAAGTGCAAAGTAAGGATCAGATGATAAAAATGACCACCTAGTTACCTAGAGCCAACCAACTACAAAGTTATGCTTGAAAAGGTGCACCAACTCCATTGCTGGTTTCTACCTGGTTTGAATTTGAAAGTGTGGCAGGGCCCTAAGGAGCACAACTAGCTGCTAAGTAAATAAAAAAATTCAATGTTGCAGTTCTAGCTGCAAACCACAACTAGAAAATTTCAATGTTGCAGTTCTAGCTGCAAACCACACAGGGAGAAAAGTAAACTGGAAGGCAAACTGGGGCAGGGGGTGTGCACTGCTACACAGCCAAAGCCAGTACAAAACATTCTTAATAAATTCCCTTTTGCACAGGCCTGGGAGATGTTGGCAGGACCCCGAAATATGGAGCGAGTCTAGGGTTGCTAACTCTGTTTGAATCTATTCCGGGAGGTTTTATCACATGACATAAGGACATTGACTGACCTACTGTACTGTACTCAGGAAGGCAAATGCACATATTACATTTTAAAAACCCACTGGACTACTGTACAAATCAGATTCAACATTTATTTTAATAAACGCCCTATCACTGATCTCCTGGGTAACTCCCAGCAGTATCCTGAAGATTCATGTTGAATTTCTGGAGACTCCAGGGCAATCCTAGCGAGGCTGCACGGTTGGAGCAGTAACTCCTCACGGCCAGCCTAACACACGGTACATATAAAAAAGTGCAAAAATCTCGAACTCTGGGTTTAGAAATGATACTTTTTTATGAGACCAACTGAGAATAATAAGAGGCATCATCTCTGAGCCAAGAGTTCTAGATTTTTGCAATTCTTCTGGTCTCAGACCAACATGCTGGCACATCTCAAAGATCATTTCATTTCAAACACACCCCTGGGGGTGGGGAAAGAAAGGAACAAACCCAATGTAGTCAGAGCCCTGACGCCACTAATAAAGACGAAGCAAGTCGGGACTTACTCCAACAAACACGGAGCCGGGCGCCAGGATGGCTTTGCCTCCCAAATACAATAAGAGCCAAGCCAGGAGTAGGACACGGGGACGGACAGGGCTGTGCAGCCCCGGGCTCTTCCTGCGGGCGAGGAGACCTCCGCGAGGCTGAGCCATTCCCGCCCCCCCAGCGCACGCGTTGCCCACGTGGGGCCAGTAGCCAATCCCCAGCGGGCGGCAGAGCAGCGCGCGCGGGAAAGGTTCCGCCGCACCCGCATGGCGGGGGGAGGGGGGAGAAGAGGAGCGCGGCTGCTCCACGCATGCGCACGGACTCCACCCGCCCGGGTAGGAGTGGGGGCGGGGACGCTAGGCCGCA